GTTGTGCGAAGTCGGCGATCATGAAATACCCGCCCTCTGGGACCGTGGGGTTCATGGCCACCGACGCCAAGAATGAGGCCATTCGGTCGCGCTTTGGTTCCAACATTTCCGGCAATTCCTTCCAATACGAGTCCTCTGCGCCCAACCTCTCGATCTCCGTCTCGAGCCCAACGGCCACCGCCTCCTGCAGTGGTGTCGCACACGTGTAGACCGTGTTTTGATGCAATAGCCGTAACGGGTGTATCAGGTTCTCGGGTCCTATAAGGCACCGGTATTTTCACAATCAAAATATTCATTTGTTTTAGTGTATTGCAAGTGCACTGACCGTACGCCCAGCCTAATTTCCAACCGGTCACGTTGAATGTCTTGCCCACACTTCCTAAACGCACCGGTAGTTATTTTGGATTAATTTTTTAGCATTTAATGCACAAAAAGTCTAATCAAATAAAACAGATATAAACCTATAGTTATGGTTCGGTCCCACATATCAGGGAACGAGGCTATGGATGCAAACAACAAAATATAATTAAATCACATCAAAGTACCAATTGATAGGAATGGTGGGTCAATGTGTTACCCATTCTGATGTGTTCCCCTCCCTTATAGTACACCCATTCGTACACCTCATCCATGAGTGCAATCGTATCGTATTTTTTACACAAATCGGCGATCATTTTAAGCTCTTCGCGGGAAAACAACTGTCGATATAAACGCCAATAGTTTAAGAGACTGTATGTCCACTCATTGGTCACAAACACCATCTATTTATACACACCTTTCCCAACGGATTGTTGGGTGTGTTGACGACAATCAATTTGGTTTTGGGGCTGAACTTAGACGCCAGTTCCTCCGGGTCTAACACCCAGTCCTTACTGCTGAGGGGTCGGCCCGACACCGGTTGGGGTCTGAGCGGCACGAAGATGGGTATTCCGCCGGCCATAACAGTCATGGGTTCGTAACAGTCATAGAAGGGCTCAATGATAATGACTTCGTCGCCCGGGTTCACGAGACCCATGAAGGCACAGAACAGGGCCTCATAGGCGCCGACAGTCACCAGCACCTCCTTCTGGGCATTAATCTCACGGCCGACCAGCTTTGAGTACAGTTTGCTTAAGGCGTTCACGAGTCTCAGGTGTCCCTAAATCGGTGGCCAGTAATGATAATCAATGTATAGGACAGGCATTTAGGCGCTGGATATATATGCTAGTGATCTACAGGGAGTGCTATTGTCTATTGAATGCGAGTGTAATGTCTTACGAATCCGCGGGTGTATTGGTTGAGGAGGAC